TACTTTTCGCCGTATACAGATCTAACGAGCTGCCCGATACAAGACACCTACGTGTGTCTATCCGAGTGCGGGCAATTGGCTGCGGTCCTTTCTCTCTCTTCCTTTCTTTCTTTCTCTCTCCCTTTCTCTCTTTCTCTCTGTTTCTCTCTCTCATTAACGTTCAAATTACTCGGCAGGATGGCGGAGCGCTTAAAAGTGCGGTCAAAGCGTAGCGAAATGCCTGTCGCCTCGCTTTATTAGGCGATCACCCGATCTACTAGCACAGTGTGAATGCAAACGAGCCACCCTCCGGCCCGCTCGCGCGTCTTCTCTGTACCGCGAGGGAATACCGGCGGCTCTTACTTGCGAAACCCGTTCCGCGGTCCGGGTTATCTCGAGACTCGTACGAGGGGAATGAAAAGAAGAATAAAAGGAGCTGATGGGACCGGGAGCGAGGAAACTGGACGAGGATGGTAATTTTCAGGAAGAAAATGTGGTATTCGAGAGGAAAACTTTGGAGGATTTCTTTGGTGCAGTTGGGGGGTGAATGTTGTTTGAATTGTTTGATTTTATTACTGCTTTGTCGGATGTAAGAGTAAGTCTGTATTTGTTGTGCCTGTTTATTTTACCTATTTGTTTGGGAAATTTATTTTGATCTATGCTGTTTGTTTGTTCGAATGATTTATTTATATTTATTTCTTTCATTCGTTTGAGTGATAAATTGTTTTTTATCTATTTACTTCTTTCGGTGGTTAGAATTTATTTACTTTTATTTTGAGTACTGATTTGTATACTTATTTTTTGGATACGAAAAAGGATAGAAAAATTGAAGATTATTTATGTGTCGTACAGGTTGAAAACTTGTGATCTCTCGTCGGTGAAGATCAAGTGAATACTTAATAATTACAATTTAGTATTGATAATCACAATTTGAGGATTGAAATGCAGTCGATTAAGGTGATAGGTATGGAATTATTGTCCGAAAAAATGCAGGGAAATAACAACTGCGAGCAGAAAGATGAAAGCATAATGAAGTCCCATGTAGGTCGCACGGAGACAGCTTTCTAGGATCTATTTTCGCGTCACTTTGGAAAAAAAGTTGAACCGTTTAGCTGTGAAAGTATTACGGGGCGACAAGAACCGACTATTAGGGGAAATAATAAGAGCAATTTATGCGTTCTTGGAATCCTACTTAGTGGACAACTGCTGGCTAACCGGTAATTAGAACCCCATAATTGAAGTATAAGAAAAATAATAATTATAGAATACAAAAGTGTGTGATCAATCGTGAAACTCTTTACAACTGGTAAACTCGTAAAGAAACCAGTTAAATTAAAACGAGTAACATGTGTTACACTTCTTTAGAGAAAACAGTTAAAATGAGCTAGATTCATAGTATTAGAAAAATCTGCCCTGAAAATTCTTGTGAATTATTCCTGTCATAATATTATCATTTCGGCGATCCCTCCATGTGAACGTAATTCTATTAGACAGGTGTTTGCGGACGCGTATGATTCACCGTGTGTCTGGTAAGTCTTGTGTAACTAACCTTGTATGTCTGGCAAGACTGCTCAGTGAATTATAGCTTACAGACATGCGAGTTTTTTGTTAAATTTCGAAACAGAAAGATCAACCTTGTAAGGAAATCTCGAATAGCGAAGTTGCAGTTCTTGTTTTTGGATATATGGATATTTATGTTCTGGATATTTCGTTGTCAATTTCGTTTTGAAATAGAATACACTTTAAAAACATTTTCCTTGTTAACCTTTGGACTGACAGTACTTTTTTAAGGCATCATCCATCGGCACCACTGAAGACACTCCTCCTTACCTAGAACATAAGAAATAATAAGAAATTAGCGCAAACTAGCATACAACATTCAATAAAAAAACTAAAAATAAAACTATACAGACGAAGAAAGTTCAAATAGTACTCATTCAGATTATATCTTACCCTCTATATACATCAACAATAATTTTATTACTAAAACTGTACCTAGTATCCAATGCCCAATAACAAGTTCCATAAAATTGAGAATACTGAAATATTTATAAAAATTTCATTTCCAATGAAACTGAAACTACAAATAAATTCTATAAGACTAAGACTAAACGAAATTTCTGACACACTGCTTCCCGGAACAAATTCAAGAAACCAGTACGAATGGCTCAGAATAATATTAACTCCTACTTCTAAATATTCTCGAAAAAGAAACTTTTCAAAAATGTTAGATTAATCAGACACATTAATCATTAATCATTAATTATTAATATCAGTACTTAATCCAAGAACATTTCACAAAAACCTTTTTTCCCGAGAACTCAAAAACCTAAATCAGACCATTATTATTCAAAGCCATATCTTCTATTGTTTAGCTTTCGATCATCAGAATATCGATAGAAAGCTCGTTCAAGGGTAGGAAACCGGAGACTCATCGGCATGAGTCCCAGTTCTGAGTGTCGTGATAAGCATTACCACATACCCCTTTTATCTCATTTAGGGATGGTCAAGAGGAGGCCTTTTCCAAGGCTGCATTCCAATCTTCCGCCTTTTCTCCGAAACAAAAACAACTTCCTGTCCATGCATCTAAATTATGTATCCTGAAAATCCCTTTTTCCTTTTAACTATCCAGTTTTCCTTTTAGATACCAAATTTATGCATCCAGTGACAAAATTCACCTTTCCCGAAAACTCAGGGACTGCCGCGATGGAATTCCAAGACACCCCCATCAAATCGCTGCAGCCCTCAGTTCTCCCAAAATCCCTTTCCCCCACTCCTTTACAGAATCCTTTAAATACGGAGGAAAAACGGAAAAGAGGACTCAGTTTTTTAGAAGAGCGACTTTGCAACGTTTATACCAAAACACTTGTACTCAGTTCAACTCAATAAAAGACTAGTGTTACCAATCCAGTGAAACTTCCTCCCTTGAAACACACTCTCAGAGTCACCTCGACGACATGAGCAGAACGATAGAAGCGGCTGTCGTGGGTCGAAAATTGACGAGTTTGAGTTAGCCGGGCGTTGCGTTTCGGTCGCGGCAAGATGATATAGGAGTCGCGGGCCGATTTATAATCCATATAAATCATTCCGGGGGGTGGGCGTAGAACGCGCAAACATAAAAGAGAGGATTTTCACCGCGGTGAGGCGCGGCGGCAGGCGGGTCAACGATCTAGAAACGAACCTCGATCCCCCGAGATCCTAACGAATCACGGCACTCAATATAGATGAACTTCCTAGATCCCGCTTACGCTCGTCTTTATTAACCGCTTAAACAATTAACTGACGAATTTAGTTTGAAAAATCTTTCATTGTGCGCGCAATAAAGTCAAACAATGAAGTATGTACTCGTCAAACGCACCGCAAATGTACCTATAATGTATTCTAACAGAAAACTAAAGCAAAACGAAGCAGAATTACATGTGTATCTGAAAAAATAACTAATTCATTGTTGAAAAGATTAGTGTCATTTCGAGTCTTAAGATGACGTGTATACTCGTCGAACGCAGTTAACTTGCCCTTCGATTTATTTTTTAACTATGACCGACATAACAACCTTATTAGTAATAATTTATCAAAAAAGAGATAAATTTGATAAATGCTCTGTGTCTATGTTTGCCTTGCAATATAATAATTGATCACAGAAGAATAATATTTAATTTGAATTCAAAGAAATTGAGTCAATTTTATGTATTTTAAATTTTATTTAATACGTTCACGCGTCATGGTAAGGCAAAGACTTACTTATCGGTAACCAAACCGAATTACTATAATTCAGTAAATTAAACAGTGATTATTTGCAAACATTTTTATATTATAAATAATGCTAGCTAATGCGGAGACATTCGTCAAATTAAACGTACAATAATAATAAAACGATTTAATGAAATAATTTGATATTATATCTTTTTCATTTTGGGTATTTTGCTACGAGAAATCGTGTTGCATTCAACGTGTTAATTCATCCAAATTCGACACCATATTTTACTTTTTCTCTGTAGAAAGAAAGCTTCCATCACGAGAAATTAAATGACAACAATTTTATATTGATAATCAAACGGAAACACGAATAATAGTTGACTTGAAGTTCGTACATAACGTTGCACGCCGAGGAAATCTATCCATTAAGGGGTTAATCCTCCATGGCCCGCGATAGCCGCGATTGTTGCCGATAACCAGTGCACACGTGTGCGCGATTAACCCGACTTGTTCTGCGTGGCCCACGTGACGTGTGTAGGCCAAGAAGAAATGTGTGCTGCGGCGGAGAGAAAGAGAATTAGAAAGCAGAAACAAACAAAACGGAAATGGAACGGATAAAGCGACGAAGGAAGAACGAAATTTGTCAAGAAATATAGAACATTTTAAATCCTGTTCGCGATATAATTATTCATTTACAAATCCTGTTCGAAGGAAACAGGTATAATACACATTATAAGTTCAAGTAACGCAACGTACAAACTTGCCTGGGAACTCGAAATGTTTCATACTTAAAATAAATAAGTGGGTACCTGTGCAAGATGAAGAGCCATAGAATTAACACTTATTAGCACGAATCAAGGAACGCGAGGATTTCGAGGCGTATTAAAGCTTCCGCGCATGGGAGAACGAAAATAAGAATGAAGGATATAAATAGGTTTTATGTAGGATAATTAGCGGAATGGATTCAACCGGTTAATGATTAGTTGCCGCGAGGTGATTCAACTTTCAACGTTGTAAGGTAAAATGAAGATCGTAAAGGGGCCAGGAGAAGCGGACAGGGATGGAAAGAGACGATGGTAAGTGGGGAACGATGATTAAGCGTGGAAGATATCATCTATCTAGGAAGATCGATACAGTTCTTAAGACTGGCAGCAACCAGATACCGGCCGTTGCACGGGCGTAGAACAACTTTCCCGTTTCGCTTTGTCGCGAATCCTGAAGGAGCACGGCCTCGGCGCTCCACGACCGTTTTAAATCTTCCGCCTCGATCTTGTATATACGCCGACAGCGAGCCGAATGGCGAAGGTTTCCGTAACGATCGTTGGATAACTGCTCTATCGAGCTAAACACCGGCGCTTGATTGATCACGCAGACGTAATCTGCATGATACCTCGCAACGCATCTTTCAACTGAAAACGATCGGATTCGTCGATGTTCCCTTCTTTTTCCTTTCCGCAAGCGGAAAGCGAGGGGAAAGCTAATTAGCGAATGGTTGCGTGCTCTCCGAGTATCGTTCGGACATTTTGGGGAAAGCATTTCTTCCTCGTGGAGCAACGAAATCGAAGGTACTGAAAGTTTATAATAGTTTGTGAATAATGAATTGGTTCTTTCCATTCTTTGGAAACGGGATATTTATGTTATCAGAAGGAAATTTTGATCAAAGGCAAAAACTCGTGTTTTTTGTATGGAAGATGCGTTTAAATGTACATTTTTGTCCCTTGTTAAGAATTGGATTGAAACAGATGTGAATTAACTATGGTGGATAGAGATATTTATGCAAACTTCTATCTTTATAGAAACATTTCAAGAACTAAGCAGAATTTTATCTCCTACGATAACAGTTTCTTTGGAGCTATATTACATTCTATTGATCAATATATTATATGATTGTTTTGAGTGAGAATCTCCAACGGGCTATGCGTTCATAAAGGCTCGCTGTCCGCTAATCGTTAATTACATAATAAATCTTGACATAAAGATTCTATCATTAAACTGCGCAGAGATTTTTATCAAAAAGACTGACACACATAAATAATTTTATGTTCTATAAAATAAGTAATAACTAATGAGTCGTTACAAATATCTCCCCTCGGCAAGTGCCATGTGTATTAACTGACCTTTCTTAAGTATCTTGTACATAATTTTATTTGAATACGTAATTAATTGCTGGTCGTTGCGAGTTAAAGTTCTAATCGCACGACGCACGCGTATGAAATTTGCATGCCGCGAATGACACGGTAAACGACGCAGTTTCAAATTTAAAAACAATATTCTAATTATCTTCAATTAAAAATGTCTACCTTGAATATTCACTGGGTACTTCAAGATTCGAGGTGATAATGAAGAATAGCTGGGTAATTGTACGTGCACCGGATGGCAGTGCAACTGACTAGTCACGTAAAGAGGCTAGTTCATAACAAACATGGTGGAACAATGAATGAAAGTCGATTATTACGGTCTGCGGATAGTTATCTATTAAGGAAGGCAACTTCTGCATACCGTGGGTATTCAATATCGATGCCCCTTCCCCACTAAATAGTTCCAGCTTGTTACTTTGCACTTTAATACGCTTCGTAATGCAAAACACACACAATTACATACATTTATTAAATAATCATTAATTACATAATATTAAGACGTAATGCATACATCAAACTGAGATTAAAATGAAAATATAGGGAATAAGTATGTCAAATTGAAATGCAATTATTTATAAAATAAAATGAAAATAAAATTTAAATACTGATTATTCTGATAATGAAAGTAAAAATTTTAGGGAGACACTATGAACGTTCACCAGAAAGAAAGATAATAACGTTTTATAAGTAGAATGCATTACATAATAATGATAAATTAAATCTCTAACTTTCTTTCTGGCGATGACTAGCGATCATTTTCTTAACATTTTTATTTTTATTATTTAAATTTCATTTCCCGCGGAAATTATTCAATCGTCTAACTATATGTCTAATTGACTGCTAACGTGGATTTAATTGCAGTTGCTAATGTCTTCATTTAGAAGAGAATGCATTTCGTGTGCCATGTTTCACGTACCAGGCACCAGCAGAAGAAGAGGGAAGAGTTTTTTGTTCAAAGGATCGGTCCCTAATTACGAAAAGTTAATTACCGGGATT